CCCCCCCCCCATAATCATACTGCCCTTTTTACTGTCTATTGATTGAGGAGATGTAAATGACAACCACTCAGAATTCAGTAGTGCTTTTAAATTAATTTCTATTTTATCAATCATAACAGTATAACATGCTTTTGAAGTATCTATATATGAGCAAAAGATATATCATTCATTGAATCTGCAAAAAGCATGCAGCGTGCACATAGATTCACAGATCTCTTAGGGTGGTAGCTCAGCAGGCCCTTGCCAGGGCCACAGCCTACAGATGGGTTCCCCTCACCTGGCGGAGGGTATCCATGCCCCTGCTTAAGTGAAGCTCAGGGTCCCCTGCCCTAACTCAGCTAGATCACCTCTGCTTTTATCTCTTTTAGATTGAACTTCCTCAAATAGTTTCATTTTCAAAAAATGTTCACTTACAGTAAAAAAAGTTTGACAGCCACGGGCCTACAGAAATTTACTTTCCCCATCTCCTATTGTATGACCATATTTTTAGTGGCCCCAAAATTAGGGCCACTATCTGCCAGGATTTGGGGAAATGAAAATATTGGAATTTCTGGGACATTTTGAGAGTATGAGGCTAACAGAATAGTATGTTTGAAATAGGGGCTGTCCTAGAAAATGTGGGTCCTGGTCACGTGATCATCACCCCTATACGTTCTTTCTAGATGAGCCAGGTTCTCAGCTAGTAATTCCTTCTTCTATTTCAGAGTAATTTACCTTTGCCACTGGATTTTTGACAAAATGTAGGGTGTTTTGTTTTTCAAACTTTACCTTTTTACCCTTCTAATTTCTTTCTTTCTTCCCAGATTGCTCAGCTACCTCTGAAACTTGAATCTGAAGTGCTGGAGAATGGGGAGAACTTCTCAGTCGGGGAACGGCAACTCTTATGCATAGCAAGAGCCTTGCTCCGTCACTGTAAGGTACGGCAGTGTGGGGGGCCCTGGGGAAGGGGAGTGGTGGGAAAGAACAGGAAGGTGGAGAAGCAGCCTTTCCTTGTTGCTCTAGGTCCGAGGGCATTCCTGGCTCTGAGTCTAGTGGCCCTTTTTTTTAATCCTCACCTGAGGATATTTTTTCCATTGCTTTTCAGAGAGTGAAAGGGGGAGAGACAGAGAAACATCAGTGTGAGAGAGACACACCCATTGGTTGCCTCCCGCATGCGCCCTGACCAGGACTGGTTATCGAGCCTGCAACCAAGATACATTCTCTTGGCTGGAATTGAACCCAGAACCCTTCAGTCCTTGGGCTGACGCTTCAACCACTGGGCCAAACTGGACAGGAGTCCCAGTGGAACTTTTTAAAAGAATGCCCATAGGTGTTTCTGAATTAACCTTGACACAATTTGGGTATATTGGCAGGATTTTTGTTTGTTTTTGTCTTTAACTTCCCTGAGCCTTCAGTTGCAAGTGCGACTTTTGTTTCTGGCCAGTGCGTAGTTGTAGTGCTAGATACCCTGGACTTAGAAGATTTTAAAACTGTGAGAAATATCCAGGTCATCAGATCCAGGCCCCTCATTTTAGAAATGGGAAGAAGGGGGTCCAGAAAGGTGACTGTATGTGTTCAGGATCAGAGCAAGTAGGGTGAGTATTTTGTTAGATGAGTATTATATGAATATCCTTTTGTTTATTGAAATCAAGGCAAACAGATAGATTTGGTGTTATTTCAATTCTAAGCAAAATAGCATTTTTACATATGTGTGTACCTACTTAGAAAAAACAATATATGGTGTAAAATTCAAATGCTAAAATATATTTTAGTAAAACCTAAATTAACCAGAATGCTTAAGGAATGGGTTGGATCCTCTTTCTCCCCTCTTTCCCGGCAGATTCTGATTCTAGATGAAGCCACAGCTGCCATGGACACAGAGACAGACTTACTGATCCAAGAGACCGTCCGAGAAGCATTTGCCGACTGCACTATGCTGACGATTGCCCATCGCCTGCATACGGTCCTAGGCTCTGATAGGATTATGGTGCTGGCCCAGGGACAGGTACTGAGCCTTGAGGACCTGGGCATGGCATGTGGCCCTGTGTGGGAGGACTGGCTGATTGGCATCTGAGCGTGGTTCTGAGCATTCAGAAAAGCAGCCATAGCAGCTCTTGTCTGGTTGCTTTGGAGGGAGCTACAGCCCCCTCCCAACAAGGGACTGAGTTAGAGGCACTCTTGGGTTCTCTTTTTGCTTTACTACCTGTTCTTTTGTTGCTTGAAAACAGCAACACTCTGACTTAGGTCAGAGAGCAAGTTTAGTTAGTTCACATACACAAGTTCACATACACAAGAATTGCCCAAGGCACATTGAGACCAGCCACATGTGATGTTTGCTTTTTGCAATCATGTGGTGGTGCCAAACTTCATATCCTTCTATTCCAAGCTTTCCCACCACCTGGCCAGTTTGCCTTCATTTTCCTCTCTTTCCTTCAGGTGCTGTTAACTATAGACAATCTTGCATCCCCCTAAGCTTTTTTACCCCTGTGTCTTTACTCATACAGTTCCATCTACCTAAAATGCCCTTTCCTCTTGTTTCCTTTCCCATATATAGCTGCTTACAGCCTGCCTACCCCTCAAGGAAGCCAGTGTCTACCTATCCCCTCGTGGTATAGTGCCTGCTCTAGCGCCCGACGCCATGCCCTCATACGACCAGTCCGAAGGAAGGACACTTTCTCCTTAGGCCAGTCTCTATCGGGCAGGACAGCCTTTCCCAGAAGCACCCCAGGAGACTTCCCCTTACATCTCTTTGGCCAACATGTCCCATGCCTTTGCCCTGCAGAAGGGAGGCTGGGAAAGTATGTGGCATTGTCAGCCAGCACATCTTGCACTTTCCTACTGCAATATGATTTTCAATGACTGCACAGCCCTTACTCACTTCCTTTTATTAAAAAATTTTATTGGTTGATTTTGAGAGAGAGAGAAAGAAATTTCAATTTGTTGTTCCACTTATTTATGCATTCATTGGTTGATCCTTGTATGTGCCCTGACCGGAGACTGAACCCTCAACATTGATGTATCCAGATAACACTAACCAACTGAGATACCCAGCCAGGGCTCTTACTTCCTTTTTTTGTTTTTTTTCTGCCAACTAGGTCTCCTGAGCTGCTCCTTTTCTGTCTTTAGGTTTAGGTCAGCTTGCATAACAAAGATGGCATTTGCCTGCTATGTCTTTGACCTGAGCTGCAGTGTTTTCCCCTGCAGCTTGTAATATCTTGCCGATTGATTCCTTCATAACTAAAGCTGAAAGAATTAGGTGAAGGGGGTTTAGAGGTCTTTCTCTCTAACCTTTCTCCTTTCCCCTGGTTAGTTTTTTAAAAAAGGAGCTCATTTGGGCATGGCAGAGCTAGTCAAATTATCACCCTGATCCCATCCTCAGGGGGGCTTTTGGGCTTGCCCCCCTTCCTGAGCAGTGAGTCCTCTAAAGCACCCCGAGTGTCCCCAAGTCCCATTCTGAGTGTCCCTATCTCCTTCCTTTGCAGGTGGTGGAGTTTGACACCCCATCGGTCCTTCTGTCCAATGACAGCTCCCGGTTCTATGCCATGTTTGCTGCTACAGAGAACAAGATCGCTGTCAAGGGCTAACTCCTCCCGCCGCCGGCGTCTCTTTCCTTCGGAGCATCGCCATTCCCTGCCCCAGGCGGGCACTCTTTCTGTCCTGCCGAAACCTTGCCTTTCCCGATTTTATCTTTCACACAGCAGTTCAGGATTGGCTTGTGTGTTTCACTTTTAGGGAGAGTCCTATTTTGATTATTGTATTTATTCCATATTCACATAAACAAAATTTAGTTTTTGTTCTTAATTGCACTCTAAAAAGGTTCAGGGAACCATTATTATAAATGTATCAGAGGCCTATAATGAAGCTTTATACGTGTAGCTATATCTCTATATAATTCTGTACATAGCCTATATTTACAGTGAAAATGTAAGCTGTTTATTTTATATTAAAATAAGCACTGTGCTGATAACAGTGCAGATTCCTTTCTATCGTTTTTGTACAGTTTGCTGCACTGGAGATCTGGTTTTGCTATTAGACGATAGGAAGGGTAGCATATTGTTCTTTGCTAGCTGGTTGTTTCACAGCGCCAGGTTTTCTGGGTGTCCAAAAACGAAGATGTGTGGCAATAGTGGGCCCTCCAGCGGCCCCCTCTGCCGCCTCCCCACCACCACTCCGGGACGGGGGGAGTAGAGGGGGCCCGCTGGCGGCCATGCAGAGCGCCGTGAATTCTCAGGGCTCCTGCTTTCTGTCCTGGTGTCACCTCCCTGTTTCTGTCAGGAGAGCAGTGGGGCAAAGCCCCAGACCCCTTTCTACTCCCTCGGTCAAGAATGAGAATTGCCGAAACATTCCTTGGTGAGAGGGAGTTTCTTTCCTGCCTTCCCCTTTTTGCTGTTGTTTCTAAATGAGAATCATGTCTCTTCACAGAGTGTCCCCACTGCCTCAGGTTCCTAATGCTGGCCACTGAGCAGAGCTCTCCGGCCCCCAGACCTGTTGGTTCCAAACCCTGGGGCTGACCGCTGCTTTTCCCAGTGGTACTTTTTCCTTTGCCTGGTCCCACACCTCCACAGTTCAGTGACAGGGTTCAGGATTTTGTGGGTCTGTTTTCTTTTCTCACTGCAGTTGTCGCACAGTCTCTTTCTCTCTCCAAAGTCTGCGACTTTAAGCAGCTCTTGCTAATCAGTGTCTCACACTGGTGTAGAAGTTTTTTGTACTGTAAAGAGACCTACCTCAGGTTGCTGATTGCTGTGTGGTTCAGTGTGTTTCTGCAAACCCCCTTTGTGCTGTGGGGCCGGTAGCTCAGGTGGGCGTGGTCGCTGCTGTCATCAGTTGAATGGTCAGCGTTGCATGTCGTGACCAACTAGACATTCTGTCGCCTTAGCATGTTTGCTGAACACCTTGTGGAAGCAAAAATCTGAAAAAGTGAATAAAATTATTTTGGATTTTGTAAAACTCTTGGTGTATAAAATAGTTCTCTGGGAAGGGAGCAAGATTTCTTTGAATGACTTTGGGATGCCAGAGCCTGGCTCTGAATATCCAGTGATGGTATTACACCTGAGAAGGGCCAGGAACAGAGCTGGCTGGTTGCAGGGGGCGTGGGGCCCAGTATGCCTGACATCGTCTGTGGTGGGCCCTGGTCCCTACGCCTGTGTCACCAAATAAAGCTGTGCCACCAATAAGAGTTTTGAGCATGAGCAGGGTGAATGCTTATGGCAAGGTGGGTGGTTGTGGTGAAATATATTTCAAATGAACAGTTTGTTGAGGGTTCTCAGCAATTCAAACAATATAATTGCCCTTTCAGCCAATTCATTCAGCTCACCTCACTGAGAATTAAGTACCCATTCAAAAGGGTAATCACTCCAGAGTTTCTCACTATATTGTATTGAATGCAGCCAAGAAAGCTTTTAAACTAATTGGTACTAGTTCTGCCTACCATTAACGGAAATCATACCTTAAACCCAACCTTTTTTGAAACTACTGTCTTGAAAACACAGGAGCTTGGCTCTAAACATTTTGTTCCATATTTCGAGTGCTCAGGAGCCACTTGTGGCCTGTGGCTACTGTATTGGACAGCATGGATGTAGCACATTCCTATCATTGAGGAAGTCCTGTTGTATAGCACTGATGTAAACAAGCACTTTTATTGATGCCCTGGGTTTACCTTCCCAGAGGGTAACACGCAGCAAGAAGAGCCTCCAGGTCCTTTTCCTGTTCAAGCTCTCTGTTGCACCGTGACACTGACTTCCCCTCCTGTCAGCTCTGTTCTCATATCTTAACCTGCTTTGCCCTCTTAAAAGGAGGTATTTTCCTGCCTCTGCTCATTCCTTTTTCTCTCTATGCATGGATTATTTCACTCCCACAGGTACAGTGACAAACCTCCCACTGTGGGCTTGGCCTTTCCTTGCTACCAGCCTCCAGCTGCCCGCTGAGTGCCTCCACTGGGCATCCCCCAGGTGCCTCAGACAGTTTCTTGAAAATCAGTGCTCCTCGTCTTAATTAGTAGTACTACTGTCCTCCTTAGTCTGTTAGGCTAGAAGCCCTAAATTATTATATTATTTTTTTAAATATATCTTTATTGATTTCAGAGAGAAAAAGGGAAAAGGAGAGAGAGAGAGATAGAAACATCAATGATGAGTCGTCATTGATGGGCTGCCTCCTGCACACCCCCGACTGGGCATCGAGCCCACAACCCGGGCATGTGCCCTGACCGGGTATTGAACCGCAATCTCCTGGATCCTAGGTCGATGTCAACCACTGAGCCACACCCAGCCAGGCACCTTGAATTATTGTAACTCTCCTGCCCATTCCCATAAATTCGGTCACTGCATCACCACCGCCCCCCCCCCCC